CGAGAACAAAGAGGCGATCGAGAACATTCGTCGACAAGATCGCAAGTAAATCCGGCTTCCGCACGCATTATCTCACGCACAAATAATCCCCCGTCGCTGTCGGAAACGAATATTGCACATACATGTCGCGAACGCGTATTTGAACCGGTGAGAATTCAACTACGAAGGCGGAAAGACGACATATCACGGCGTGGCGATCGTCTACTGCGCAGGTGGCCGTGTCGGAAGTCGGAGCATATATCGTCTTTCCGCCTTCGTAGTTGAATTCTCACCGGTTCAAATACGCGTTCGCGACATGTATGTGCAATATTCGTTTCCGACAGCGACGGGGGATTATTTGTGCGTGAGATAATGCGTGCGGAAGCCGGATTTACTTGCGATCTTGTCGACGAATGTTCTCGATCGCCTCTTTGTTCTCGATCGTGCTTTTCGTTGCGATCGAGCACAGTGGAATCGCGAAGTTAGCCGCGTTCGCGGAATATCGGAAGCTAAATGAGGTGAGAATCTTGCGTTTCTTTTCGACATGACTCGTCGAAATTATATGAATATATATTTTCGTGCGTATATTGAGTCTCATGTATGTGTAATGTGCTTCAGGTGCAGTAAAGGGAGAAAACGAAAGCGGAGGATGCCTAGCCAATGGATTTTCAAAGTGTCCAACAACGGCCGCGAATGAACTTTCCGTTTTCATCGTTCGGACACAAAGGCAAGACTGAGGACTGAGTAATTGGATCGGATTTGTCAGGTACGCATTTCATTTTTGACTCATTATGTGTCGTCTTACCATTCGAGAACGTATTTTAGGCAGTAGGTCATACAGAAGTCCGTCGAAAATACTTTCTAAAAACCTAAAACTTAAAACTTTTCATATAATAAACATATCGAATTTGTTTTAATTTAATAAATCAAAACTTGATTGAAGTATTAAGCTTGCTAGGATTCAGAATATATTTTGAATAAATTTAATGCTTCTGATGAAATTATGATAGATTTGCGGATATATGAACTCTTGAAATACTTGAAATAAGTTATTACTACTTGCGTAATTAATTATTAATAGAGTAACTATTACTTGCGTATTTTTCTGTGTGTGTGTGTGTGTGTGAGGGAAAAAGTCCCTATCGGATCTTGCATCATTCATCTGAATTTTTCATCTCTGCATGCTTTGAGGTGAGATTCAGCAAGGAATCGTTCGAATCGTTAAAAATACGTACATAGACCTTGAATTTCACCGGATAATAATCGATTTAGTCATTTTCAATTTATTTTTAAATTAAAGTTTTGTTTTGTATATAGTAATGTTTTATATTAAAAAATAGAAAATTTAATTTAGTTTAATATTCGAGACTTTCAAAATAAAAACATTATTGACCTAAAGGTTTTTTTAATTTAGATTTATTTTTAGTCGAATATTTATATTTTTAATTTAGAATAAACGCGACATTTATTCGTTGTATATTAATGGAATTATTATTATTATTGATTATTCATATTACAATTTAGTCAATTTCATTGATATTTTTTTTTTTTTTTGATGAACCCTTCGCGACGCGTTCGTGTTTCGCGCATCGTACATAAGTGTAAAATCTTACGCTTATTGCCGGCAATGTCAGTCGACAGCAGTCGGCAGCAAAAAGGAGTATTTCTCCTTGCTGTCGATTTCTGGCATATAATGCCAGAATATTGGCCACGAGTAACGAAAGGTGAGAATCATCAATCTGGCCAGAAGAAAGAAGAGTATCTAAACGTAGTAGGTTGGTGTGTAACACCATTTTAAGTTTTTAAAAGAAATATGTACACTGAGAAAAAAAATTTGTTCAACGAACTAAATACATTTAGTTGTTTGCAGATTTGATTATTTCATCAAATTTTATCTAATCGAATTTAACCGTAATCTGCTTAACGAACTGTTCAATGTTAAGTAGACTACGGTTAAATTTAGACAAATAAAATTTGTTGAATTAATCAAATCTGCGAACAACTAAATGTGTGCAGTTAGTTGAACAAATTTTTTTATCAGTGTATAAAGATAAACTCAATATTCGGGAGGGTAATTTGCTCGCAAATTGCGAGTTCTTATATTTTTTTGAAATGTTGCTTATTTAAAATACAAAAATAACCAATAAACAACAGGACTAATGAGAGTCAGTGCGGATAATCAAGCGCAAGTTTTGTAGATTTTTTTAATATACAAAACTTGCGTTTGATTATCCGTGTTGACTCTCATTAGCTCTGTTATTTGTTAATTTTTTTTGTGTTTTAAAAATTAAATGCCTGTTTTAATAATTAGTGTTTATTACTTATTTATTATTATTATGATCGCGATTAGGTCATCCCGCTGAATTTATCAGCATGCGATAGATGGTTAGGCGTTAGCTGCATTCAGCAGAGAAAGCAGCTTTTTGCAATTGTTGTAAAATTCTTCAATATGATTGGTTTATACATTTAAATCCATAAGGAATCAATTTTATTCAAAAATTTTTTACAACAATTGAAAAGCTACTTTCTCTGATGAATGCAACCATTTATGTATTACATGTATTCGCGGTGTTATTGAATACTTATAAAGTAGATAATGTAGGTAGAAATACACGGGTGAAGAAAGGTGTGAATATGACGCGAATAAATGAAAATACGAGTAGGTAGGACAAGTATGGATAGAGACTGTATAGGTAGGGATAACCACAACCATCTAAATTAAAAAATTAAGTTATTACAAATTAAATGACACTTAAATAAATTTCGCGATCGGGTAATTAAATTTTATTTTAAAAATAAAAAATAAAAGATATCACATAATATATCTAAACAGTAAACTATAATATGTAGGTAGGAATATACAGACATCATCTGTATAACATACTTGATAATTGGAAAGAAGGGATTAAAAATTAAATAAAATCTTAAATTAATTTTAAATTTTATTTAATTATCAGTATCCCGTTCCAATTATCAAATACGAAAATAAACCAAATTAATTTTAAATTTCATTGCCTTTTCAGCTCCCCTGAAATCGAACTTTTCTGTAAAATTCTATACATGTACAAATTATGTAACGCGTTAATATCGTAATTAATTTTATTGTAAATAAATGTATGTATGATAGTATTAGGTACGTGATATAGAATTTATATAAACTATGTCCAGATAAATGTTATCACATTTACTTTTGTAATTTGCACAATAATTACTAATAAATTATATATTTATTGGAATGTATACGTATATCAGTTCTATATAATATCTATTCAATAAATAGCATTTATCTTGTCGTAGTAAATCAAATTTTTTATTACTTTATTGATGTGTAAATTACACGAAATCGACGAAACATATGATAACTACAAGGCGGAGGGACTTTGATATGATGAAATTATCAAGTTGGTTATCTTGAACGCCATGAAATACAGCGCTGTTGTAAATATATTAATGACTTTTTATCGCGATATTATTAAGTTTTATATTCGCAAATTAATAATTAATAATAAATACGATCTAATTGTTGTTAGTATTTCTTCCGCATTTATTAATATTTCATTAAACATTGGTTTAGAAAAATTTGTATTATCGTACATATTTTCGACGTTTTCGTATAATCTCGCATTACTACAATTTTTTAATTATGGTCCTATATTATCACTTTTATTATATTTTGAACAGCATTGATAATTGTATTGTAAATAATTATTATAATTGTAATGTCGAATTGTATAAAGGAATAATACAAAGAATAATATTTAAAAAGTTATTGTAATTTCATTAGCGAAATACAATAAAATAATTAGACATAAAAATAAAATAAATTAAAGATATACTTACCTGCAAAAACGGGCTACTAAATTTATTAGTAGCTCGTTTGTTTTATGGCTGAGTATACTTACAAAGAAAAGAGGACCGCCGATAAACCGCCGGTGGGGGTGGTGGAGGGCCTCTATATCTCGTTTTTGCTAAATTATACCTTAAATTGACAATATATGTTTAGAAGAGATTGAATTTATTAAAAACCTCTATATAATATATATTGCTAGTAATTATAGAGACTTTGATGCATACTAGTAATTATGTCTGGTAAAAACGGACTGAAAATTGGCATAAAGAAACATAACTTCGTAATTTTATAAGATATTATAAGATAAAATTCATTAAATTAACTTGTTTGAATTTTCAATTTCGTTTATTAAAATTAAAAAAAAAACAATTTTTATTTACATGTGTAGGAGATGCGAAATGGATAGTCGGCACGCTTTTGTCCTGAGGATTTAGTACAGAGACGAACCACATCTACTGTCGACGATACGATTTTATCGATGTTGGAAAATGTATATATTATAGTCACGTAGTTCTCAAATTGAAAATGGATGTACTGGCGGTAGTGGGCGATTGTTTCAACCATAACAGGAAAAAAACCGGCATGTCCTCTCTCAGTTTTCTCTCTGATGGAACATACCAAGAAGTCGTAGCAAGGGATCAATGAAACTTTATCCCTAGAATGGAAAGTGAAAAGTGGAAATTGAAGTTAATGGAGAAATCTTTCACTTTTAATCCTAGGAAAAAAGTTTCATGATCGATGAGACCCTGGAGAGAAAAGAAAGATAAATTGGTTCAAAAATTCAACCAAAAAGAATAGGCCTAATATCTCGTTTTTCCAGCAATTACACTATAAAAAGTGATTGGCTGTCGCAATTTTAAGGCGATATTTATAAAACAATATTCGTAGATTGACCTCTTTGAGATAGTTTTAAATTTGTAAAAAAAAAAATCCAATCTTGCATTTAATGAACTCATATTTTGGGAAAACGTTTAAGACGATTTTAAAAATATATAAAATTAAATTATAAATACCTCTACAGGATCTCTAATAGACTTGCTATTACAGATCTCCAAACTGAAACACATCTGTACACTCGTAGTATCATCGATATTTTGTGAATTTAAGAAGCATCACAATAAAATTCTTGCATGAATACTCGCTGCTAAGCAGATTATATTTAAAATGTGGCGATAGTTCTCTTACAAATACAAGCGAAAAAATAAATATATCATGAAAAATCATTCTTAGAATGTAAGCAATAACGTTGAAAAAAATCTTCAATATCTATTCGGAAACAGCTGTACCTCTATAATGAAATTCTCCTCTTGACATTTTCTCCCGCTGCTCCGTCTATTTGCCATGTAGAACAAAATCGTGAAATAAGAAAACAAGTAAAAACGGAGAATATAAAATAAGAGCAAAAATCAAAGAGATTCCACAGTAGAAGGATGACATTGTTTTACCAATTCCAGAATAGAAGAATTCTATACTGTACAACCAGTATTATTCCGACATTCATACAGATATAATAAAAATATTTTACAAAGCGCGATAACGGTAGAATTCTATAACTAAATAACTGATATTAATACCGGCACATAATGTAGTAATATATGTCAGCAGCATTATAGGTAGAGTGGACAATATCAAATGAGTTTTATGTAGTATTTCGATACCTGAAATAAGAATAACAATCAACTTATCTAAAACAATAAAAGGAAAAGAGATAGATGATGTTACTTAAACTTTGCGTTCTTAACTTACTTGCGTAGCCGAGAAACGTTATGTAAATGTAATAACCGATAGATATAAACCAAAAAGTATTTCCAATGAATCGCCCCCAAAATGTATCATTGTTTATGAGACCTGCAAAAGTGAAATGTAATAAATAATATTCGATGGTGCATATTTGATACAAAATATATGAAATCCAACCATTATATAGAAATAATTGTAAAATGTGAAGTATAACTAATGGAGGAAACACTGCATTTAAGTGGATGTCAAATGCATAGCCCCATTCAACATCTTGTGTTCTGTCTATCCTGAGATATCGATTTGTTATAAACCTATAAATAAACATATAGAATTAAAAATTGAAGATAAAATTATTGAATTAGCTTTAATTGATTAACTTTAATTTCTACTAATATGAATTAATTTTAATCTTGATTTAATTTACTCTTCATCTTTTTCTCTAACTCTTAAAATTAAAGATAAAGAATAAGTTGAATCGAGATGAAAATTAATCTACATTCACAGACTTATATAAATAGACTGCTGACTCAATGTGATAGAAAGAGATGAACCTGATTCCGAGCTGTTTTTGTTTAGTTTCCATATGCATATGTATGCGTCCTGTCTATGAGTATCATGTAAATTTACCCATGTAATTTATACATGTGTGAATGAAAAAACTCAAATATGGCGCTGCCCAGCGCTGTCTTCAAACATGGAGGCGAAGTTGGCAGTCTATTTATAGAAGTCTGTGTCTACATTGATAGAAACAGGCGTTAGAATTAGACAAAAATTAATTAAATCGAGATTAAAGTTATTCTACATTGGTAGAAATAGATAAGTTGATTTTAGAGCATTAATTAATATCTCTTTTATACAAAAAGTACAATCATAAAAAAGCAGTATAACTTTATAATTAGCTTACCAAAATATCGTTGCTATTAACAATCCAACAGCTAAATAATCAATGAACATCATATAAAGCAACAACTTCGTAAATTGAAATATTCTTAAATTCAGCATCAATCCCAAACCGATGGTAGATATGCAGAAACAACCCATGACCAATACTAAAAATGCAGGGTCGTCTCTTGCAAAATGCGATTTTGTTTCTGCAAAAATCCAATGAAGAAATCATAAGACTAGAATATATGCTACTAGTATATCTGATATATCGGTATGTAACGTACGTTTTCTGTTTTGGAAGTTTCTGTATACTTTTTGTGGCGCTACAAATAGATAGACCATCTGCCACATAGCAAACTCAAAATCCATCTGTTCGAACTTCAACAATTTTCTTAGATATTTGTAGCTTTTTGTCGCCGCCCCCATACAATTATGTCTGCAATATAACAAATCATTCAATCAAGCCACTTTACTACGTTTTTTTTACCTTGAAGTAAAGTGATAAACTATAGTAATAAAAATTCTAAAATGCATGCAATACGAGATCAAATCATTTTGTGAAAAGACAATCCAGTTAAATGATGGAACGGAAATTGAATACGTTAATATTTAAGTTATAAATTACAAAAAAATGAGACGATGCATATCCGTGACGTTACCTGTAAACGATCGGCATCGGCAACGAGGACGAGAATTCTGTTGGAACGGGCGAGTGACACCGACTCGTTGGTGGCGACGTGGAATACTTCATTTTCGGTCGTTTTGACAGCTCGTACCTCGCGCAATCACTTTCGATAGATAAGCATAACCCCTAATAAATTAAATTCTCTTGCGACGCGATTTTAGGTTATGTTTGCGTATTATTCACTATTTTATTATGACAAGTCTAAAACCGCCTGTTGTGAATTTACGCCCTCTCGTGGCAAATATCACAACCACAGCACGCTCGATAATAAACGCAATAAAATGATAAAAAAAAGTTTTAAAATAAGTATATCGCCCTCAGTAAATTATTGTCAAATATATTAAATAATTAATAAATTTTTGCAAAATAATCTCGGGATAATTATAGATTGCAAAATTAATGTCGCATTACAGAGGCGCGAATCTTGAAACTCGGATGGCAATATCAATTAATGAATACATATACTCTAAACTTTAAAACCTTTTTATAATGCATACGTTGATTCTTTCCGCAATTTTATTGCTCTTGAAACAATAATCAACGTATTCAGTTTCCATTCTGTTATTTAACTCAATGTCTTTTTACAAAGTGATTTAATCTTACTTTTAATCTTATTTTTACTGTACATTTTTATGATACATATCGTAAAAAATAACTCTTATGCGATTATAAAAAAGGATTGTTAATACAATCTTAAATAACTGAATCAATATTTTCATTAATGATAATGGCGTAGCCATACACACAGAGATCACGCGACTGAAAACCTAATGTATAGGAAATTGTATTCGGCCACATTCCGCATATTAGATATACGACTAATCGATTTCTCTGCATGTACGCTTCGTGTAGTAGATGCTAAATTAATCTGGATAGGCCTATAGAGAATGCGGTGTACGTTATGCTTACGCATATATATTGCTACTTGAAAATACTATAAAACTCAGATGAAAAAATTTTTTACAGCCCTTTAAAAGCATATTTAATTATATATTAATGTTATTGTGTGCTGTGTTATCAATATTATAATTATTATTACTCAACTATTAAAAAACACGTATGTTCTCCGTTTTGTTTCATAAAAGATACAAAGTAAAATATAATACACAAATTAGCGAATTTAAAAGAAAATACTCTTATAAAATAGAAATGTCTTCAATCCTACAACATGTATTTGTGCTGTACAGCACGTAGGTATATTACGGAATAAATAAAAAGTAGACAGATTCCACAAATTCTGATCAGCAGGATAATTGTGTGTGATTTTTAACATGAGAGCTCACACTCGTCTGAATGTCCGAACAAAAATGTTTTTATTTTGCTGAATTTTTTAATTTGCTTCCGCCGGACTCTGCCAGTAGTGCGCTTGCATGGATAATCGCTGATTGTTACTTGGCTTGAGAGGCGTCACGCAGCGGGCGGCATCCGGAAATCGCTCGTGATAACGCTCTAATCTCAGGTACTTCACAGTCACTAAATTACCTGCAAAGGAAATATAAATCCTAAAGTAATGATAAGTGATTCTCTGAAAAATCAATTCTTTCGCGCACTTGGGGTACAGTCACCACTTAATGCTTGTAACGTTCTTGAAACTACTTCATCCTTGCTACTTATAAAATATTAAACGCAGACAAATGATACTCGCCAGTGTGTAAGCATCAAATGGAATACACCCCGAGGTGTGAAACAATTGATTCTTCAGAGATTGTCCATTGAAATATATTGCAGCATATGCATTAAAATCAATATAAAATTAGCATAATGTTGGCATAAGTTTGCAACAAGGATTATATTAAAAAGAAAAAATTATATACTAATATTATAGTCCGTATTCAGAACGCGCTTACAACAATGTTAGTGCGCTAACATCCTATAATTTACGTTACGCATACTATAGAATTTTAGAGATAAAAGCGCGTTCTGAATACGGGCCTATATCTTTAACACTTCTTCATTAATATTATGTTTCATAAGTTTTTCAATAATTAAGATTAATGTCTATTATGGTCGAAACTGGATCTTAGGTACTTTTAAATTATTTCTGCGTGAATTTATGCTAAATATATAGTCATTTGAACTGCGCGCCGAAATAATTTTTCGAACTTATAAACGCAATTAAACTATTATAGTAATATCACAAATTAAACTGATAAGCAATTTAATAATTTAATAAATTTATTTACAGCTTTTCAGTACATTAACATCTTTCTGATAGGATGTCAGATTGAGCATCAAATTATTAAATTGCTTATCAGTTTAATTTGTGATATTACTATAGTAGTTTAATTGCATTTATAAGTTCGAAAAATCATTTCAATGCGCAGTTTAAATGACTACATATTTAGTATATAAATTCACATAGAAATTATTTAAAAGCATCTAAGATTAGGCTTGTTCAATTTGAGCTCTGGAGCCAAAATGCAAAGTCATTGATGTACAAAAATTCAATGTAAGATTTTAGGAACTATGAACTGTTGATAAGCGTCACTTAGATGCGTATCAATACTTTACAGTCTCCGCAATCTTACCTACATTGAATTTTTTTGCGTTTTGGCTTCGGAGCTCAAATTGGACAAGCCTGATCTAAGATCTAACTTCGACCGTAATAAGCATTAAACTCTTACTTGTTGTGTATTCACATATACGATCTTAATAAATCGTTTATTATTTCTCAGTAATATTAGCAAAATTCTGTAAAAACTTTACGTGAGACGGTCGCTAACAGCTAGTGTTTAAGTATTAAGTTTAGAAAATAAGAATTATAGCTTTTATTACACATACCATCGAACCAACAACCATGTAATGCCCTGTAAGCTTTGCCAGCATCTTCCTGCGACATACATTTCATATAAACGCAACCTTCACGGCTGCCAATGTCTACTCGAATGTGAAGTATCTTTACACCCTCCCCACATTTCTCTAAGATGGCATCCTGCACTCTCGTTTCCCAATCGTCTTCGGTTTCGCTATATCATAGTAAAAAGTAATTTAAATCATCCATTAACCAATTTTAGACGCGCTCATGCATTACTTACATATCTGGATCAAACATGTGCCTAATTTTCAAGCAAGGTGTCGGCGAACAAGTCAAGCTATTAACCGACCCCTCCATCGTTTCGAACGCTTGTCCTTGCCAGACCTTTGGCTTCTTACCCAAGGCCGCGCTTTGCACAGGAGATTTATTCAAAGCATTATTTGGCAACCATCGCCAGACATGAAACTCTTCTCCTGCCACTTGCTGCACCTCTCTTCGAATTCTAAAGATCAAGATCATATCCCGTTACACAACTGTAAGATATAAAACAAAGACATACAAAAGATTTTTTTTACCTGGATTCATTTTCATCTAGAAACTTAACTGCCTTTTCCCAAAGACTGGTCATTCTTTTACGATCTTTCGGTGGAATAAGATTATCTCGTACATGATTAATAGCAAGGAAACTTTCCTGCGCGCCGGGTTGCGTGGACGCATTTTGGTGATGTGTTTCAACAATACTTATAATATCGCTAACAAGCTTAAATACTTCTCTCTCCATATTTTTCTTGTATCTTAGGTACCAAAAGTACGATTTATAAATTCCGATACCTGTTAATGAGACTGAAGATGCACATGTACTATTACAAATCTTTCGATACATGTAGTTCTGTCTATGTATGCATTGCAATATCGTAAACAGATATTACTTTGCGAATCATTCGTAAATTTTTTGTAGTGCGTATTCTTTTTTTTTATGCATTCAATATCTATATGAAAAGTACGTATCTCTCGATGCATTTCAGGATATAAAAAAAGAAGTGTCTCGTTACAAAGTAATTTCAGTTTACGACAATATATTAAAGACGAAATTATATCGGCAAAACATAGAGAATCATTTTAAAATGCAACTACTTTACTTAAAGTATAGCTTACAGTACACCATAAAAAAGTAGTGAATAATAATCTTATGAATATATACATCATGTATTAACGGCATGCACATAGGATCTTATAACACAGAACAAGGTTCAGGAAGTTTTCTCAAATAAACAATCTGTTAGAACTTTACCGATTGCCACTATAAGAGCAGAAGAAATGATGGTAAAAATTTTGTTCTTAATAAGGCATTGCATTGGCAGCACAGGATTTAAAATTGCCATTCCAATTTTTCCATTTAGACGGGCGGAAAATAATTTATCCTGTAACAGTTAAATAAATGTATTAATACGATAATACAAGCATTCCTACGCCTAAAAAAAAGCGAAAAATAGATGAATATATTTACTAGAGTATCCAATGTTTCCATGGTTGCTCCATTATCATCATTTACATCAATAAGTGAGATGCCCCATTTCGGATTCTTAATGATTAAAAATTGCGCGCTATGCAGATCCTCCTTCACCTCAAGGCTTGTCTGGAAATGAAGAATTATTGATATATAATTCTTGCATCGTTAAATTAATTCTAGTTTTCAACCCACCACTTTCTCACTCGTAAACATTTCCACGATATCCGCATTAGTCAAGTATGGTTTCTCATTCGAATTTTCACATATTTTAGATATCGTCTTTCTCGTTAGGATGGGTTGCAGATGTTTTAACAATTGCAACACAGATTCTATGTTTTCCTTCATTATACAATTTACTCCAGGCGCTTTAAGATCAGGAGCTCCATCGAAGAAACATTGCGGTATGTTGTTATCTATAAATACAGGTGATATGAAATTATACAAGCTATATAAATCATTAATCTATGTAACATTGAAAAAATTGGGAATGATTGTAAATATAAGACAGTTTCAAATTATATTTGTTTCAAACGAAAAACTGCCATTTTTTAAAACAATCATATAAGCCAGAAAAATAATGAAAATGAAAATGGCAATCCTTTATTTGAAAAAGTCAAAGTCCCGTACGAAACTACTTTCTCCCTTGTATACAAACAAATCAACTCTTCAAAATAAATCATATTTGTTATATGTAACAGATTAAAAAGAATGTCTAAATGTTACAAATAATGATTAAAAATTCAATGATTCTAAAGAGTAAACATATTTTACTCTTTAGAACAAAAGATACAATAAATTAAA